GAAAAAATTCATCAGTATTTTGACGACTACATTTCAGAAACTCATCCGATTCGGCTGAAAATTTCAGAAAGTACACAACTCTCAGAGCTCTACAACATATCCAAAAATTCAGCCAAATCGGAGATGTCGCTCCATCGCCGGTGTGCCTAAGTGACTGATTTTCTTAGAAATTCACTTTTTTTAGATCTTTTCTCTATATTTTTTATAAATATCATTTAGAAGACCTAAACACTTTCTATCCGGAAGTTTCTAACTAGTTCCGACATTTCTTGAGTGAATAGTGAATTTTATGATGTTAGGCTGGAACCTTAACTCGGTTTCCACCAGATTTTTAAAAATTTTGTTTTTAAAAACAACCATTGATGACAGATTCAGCGTTGGTGACTACCTATGTTTCTTGTGGATGCAAGGCTATACTAAATCGCCGTGTACGAGCTCTGCGGCTCCAAGGAAATCTGATACAGGTTAGGTGCAGTGACATGGTAGGACCTGTGGAAAAATTTACTATTTAACACACAACGGTGGCTGTGAGACCCCGTTAAGCATTAGCTTCACAAAAAAGGAGTTCGAAAAATCTTTCTGAATCAGATGATGAACGTCTTTGTAGGGTGGTTGTTGCTATCGAAAACTCTAGCCTGGTGTCTTCGATAGCTCGTACTGATTAAACTGAATATTCGATTAAAGTAATATTTGTTCTTCTCTTCTATTGAGTTTAGCAGAAAAGTCGTCCTATATGCATGTTGTGTGCTTTCATTTCTTGATTAATTATCAATGTCAGACAGAGTAGTCGAGGGAAAACTAGATGAGGAAGAAGATGGTGCTACAGGAACAGCACGACAAAATGTGGTTTCGAAGTAGCTAGAAAGCAGTTCGACTTTTGACTTATCGTCGACCGCTGTTCTGGAGTTATATTCTATGCTGGGTGAAAAATCGGGTACAGGTTTTCTAGAGATGGTTACAACACAGTCGCATTTTCTGTTCAATAATCAATTATACGAACAAATTGACAGCCTTTTTATGGGCTCACCATTGGCTGCTATAATGGCTGATATTTATATGTCACATTTTGAAGAAGTTAACATGCTAAAGCTTATAATAAATGGTGTACATTTATGGAATAGGTACGTAGATGATACCTTTACTTTTGTTGAAAATAATAATTCTGTTCAAAAAATTTTACATGTTTTAAATTCTTATAATGCTAACATTCAATTTACCGTTGAAACAGAACAAAATAATACATTAAGTTTCCTTGATGTAAAGATTATTAGAATAAGAACAACAATAACACCCTCATATCAAACAACAGTATACAGGAAACCTACATACAGTGGTCGTATGACTAAATGGGATTTATTGGTTCTATTTTTCTATAAAAAATTAGCACTAAATACTATCAGTAAACGAGCAACTTACATATGCTCAAATTATGTTCTTTTACATAATGAATAAGAATTTATAAAAGTGACTGCTCTAAAAAACGGCTATCCGCGTATTTTTATAGAAGTTCAGATAGGAATACAAAAGTCAAAGCTAATGAATTCATCATCATCCAACGTAACCACACCATCACAACCAAAAACTGGCAATAAAAATAAATATTTATATTGTGAAATACCATATCGTGGTAAAACAACACAAATTTTTGCTAATAAATTGAAACATTTAATTCAACACCAAAAGCCGACTAAACAACTACGAATAATACAGCGTCCACCAAAAACTATACAACAATATTTTCAAATAAAAGATAATATTTCACATCCATTAAAATCTAATTTAGTTTATCATGTAGTTGCAAAAGACGATAATGATGATTACATAGGTAAAACAATACGACAGATCAGCAGACATTTCAACGAACATGGAATAAAATTTCAAATTGAGGAACAACAACAAAATAATTCAACACCACAACAACAAACAAATAATAGTATCCCACCATTATAACAAAATTCTATTACTAATAGTCATCTTATTCTAAATCAACAGTTACGTCGTAAACTTCTTGAAATAATTAATGCTCGACGACTAGAATATGCACGTCTAAACGCTCTTGGTGAAATACAACGACCATTAAAGCAACTTCAACCATCAATTACATTACCATTAATTCCACCGACGCCAACAGTAGCCAAAAACTCACCGTTTTATATACATATGTTTGAAACTGAAACACGAATAACATTAAAAGACTATCATTTATTAATGACTGATAAACAATCGCAAAGACTTCTAATAAAAGAAGCTTTAGCCATAAAAAGCTTAAATCCCACTCTAAATAAGACAGTTGCATCAACACCCCTCTACATTTATCCACTAGGTATACCCTCAACCTTTATACCTGATCCTG